CTAATGTTTATTATGTATTCTATCATTTGAGGTTATTTTCCTCCCCATACTCGTAACGGTTGTTGGGGGCGTATCTCGTATTTTTATATTGAATGTTGACAGGTATAGTTTAATCACTTGCTTCTCTAACACGCATAGCCTACTCTAACAGGCGGCAAACAGATCTCATTTCTAATTTAAATATGTAAATCCAATTAATATATTTAGAATACAGGTTAACGTTTATATTTCAAAGATATACAACTAAGTCATATATACATGCAACATATATTTCAAAATTTATCAAACAGAGTTATATATGAATATTATGACATTCGCTATAACCTATATTTATCAGGTCCAAGAAACATTTGCAGGTTTTGATGAATATATTTTATGATAACACTATACATTTACAGCAGTTTTCTTTTAACTTTTTAAGAACAGTGCCGTTTCTAATAAACTATTACAATCACATTTTAATTTAGATGTTGACATTTTATTTATCTTTTTTTAACTGTGTGCTATTGTTCTAACTTTTTATTATGTTTAAAGTGGCTGACAATAATAAATATTCATAATAATAGGAATAAATCTGCCACTTTTGTGAACTGTGCAGAGCTGACGCCTCTTAATTAGGCTTACTACGTATATTCAATACCAGTCATTATGGTGATACTTGGAGAGAATTTTTCTTTCTGAGGTGGTACTTGGTGAAAAAACTTTAAGAACCACTGGTCTATAGTAATTAACCTTAAATACTAAAATGTTTTTTAAGCATACTGACGCTGACGCCTCCAATAGAGATAAAGATGTTGCATAATCAGTTAAAATGTTGCTAGAATTGTTTTTATGTATGGACGATATATATTGAATCATCAAAAATGGTTAAGGTCATGTCCACGGGTTTGTGCGAGAAGACAATTAATTGACTATTCTGAAAAGCCTAACTAGAAACAAGACAAAAACTCTAGGTAAAAAAAACACTACAACCCTTAAGTAAGAAAATCACAAATGGGATGTCTTGAAAGTTTGACCGTTAAAAATGATCATCTACGGTAAACAAAAAAAATCATGTTTGCTGGCAACCAAGAAAAATGATGGTGATTAAATCTAATGATCAAACAAACAAAGACATCAAACTGTGGAAATAACAGTTAAAGTTGTACTTTAAAGTGACTTCTAAAAGTTGAACTACAAAAAAAAAAAAAATGAAATGATATTCCAGCTGCGGTGAGAAAAGGCTATAACTGATTTTTAAATAACATATAACCAGGCTCACATTCAGGATTCAAAGTGTTTACTGTCATATGGTTAAATAAATATAAATAAACAAGTAAAAAATAAATAAATAAAGGCGTAACAATAAGGTTGTATTAGTTAATGTTGTTAATGCACTTACCAACGTGAACAAACAATGAGCAGTACATTTATTACAGTATTTTTTCATGTTTGTTAATGAAAATAAAGTTGTTCAGTGTTAGTTCATTAGTGCATGATAATAACAAACATGAATTCGGTTTTTAACAATTCATGAGTGAAATGTTGAACTATAATTAATAAATGCAGTACAAGGATTGTTCATTATTAGTTCATGTAAGTAAATACTAATGAAACCTTATGGTAAAGTTTCACCAAAAAAGGTTTGTATAAATGTTAAAAACTGGTGTGCAAAATCCAGCAGAGAATGAATGTTTTGCAAAACAGTCATGCGCAGTAATTGAATATTAAGGTGCATACAGTATGTGAGGGGGATTCCACGTGGAATATTTGCCTTCAGAAATCTCATCATTCGCTTATGCAAATGAGTTGAAATGTATACATTTATTCAGCTTTTTTTATTCAGATATTTCAGTAATGTTCATGAATAATATGCACATTTCTAGATTATTTGTATTAAAGTATTTTTCTATATCTTTTAGTGGATGTATGATGTTGAACACAAAAGAATGAATAATAATAATCAATAAAAAATGTAACTGCCATTGACTTTAATTATCGGAAATAAACAGCTACTGGTTTCAACCATTTAAATTATGACAGAATTCAATTATTTCTGGTAAAATATCTATTTAAGCACAACATCATGCAGTCAATATAGCCTGTGATAAAGGTGAAGCGCTGTAGTATGGTGTCTGTGAGACTGCAGAGGCCAGAAGGCAGGTTTTGGGGGCAGGACAGGATGCAGATATGGGATTGGACATTGTCTGAGTTCATGTGCGTGTGTGTGTAAAGTGGGAGGTGGAATTGGGTCGGACGGTTTACGGACTGGACTGCCATTCCCATTCGTACTGTCCGACATTCCCTGCTGATCCCACATCAGCCAAGCCGAGCGGAAGGTCAACACAACTGCAGGGGTCTGAGAGCCAGTGAAACGCACACACAAATGCGTGCACACACACATAGCAATACTCACAGCATGTCTGTATACACACACACACACACACACACACACACATATATATATATATATATATATATATATATATATTTTTTTTTTTTTTTTTTTTTTTTTGGTCCCACTTTATATTAAGTGGCCTTAACTAATATACCTACACAGGAATTAATAGTTTGTTATAATGTACTTATTGTGTAAATACATGTATTTACTGTGTACTTATGCTTGATTAAATACATGTATGTAAATACATCTGTAATTAACTTTTGTAATTACATTTGTAAATACACTGTTGACCATCCCTTCCACCTTAACCTACCCTTAAACCTACCCATGCCACCAAACCTGTCCATAACCCAACCTCTTTTCCAACTCAAAAGCTCCACAAGTGTTCTCAAATACATTATAAACACAGTAAGTACATTGTATTTATTTTTTTGATGTAAGTACATAGTAGTTAGGGACACTTAATATAAAGTGGGACCTTTTTTTTTTGTATTTAACTGGCATAAATTCTGAAAAATTATAAATTATTATAGATTTAAAAAAAAAAAAAAAAAGCTCTTCACAGTTTATTAGTTCATTTGATTTTGACATCCTTGTTGAATAATTATGCATTATCTACAATAATAAAATAAATGTATTATTGTTTTGTAAAACAATCTGTATTAACGCATAACTGTATAATTGGATAACTGCATAATTGTAATTATTAATTATGGATTGATAATAAAATACAATAATAAATAAATAAAATTAAATAAATAGACAATATAAAAAAATAAAGCTGTTGTTTTCCAGGAACATGGACAATGACTACGGTATATTTTATTTTTTATTTGTTGTAAAAATAAAAGGCTGATTAAATTGTAATAATTTAAAGTAATTTAGCTGCATTTGGCTCTATCATTTAGCAACAAAAAATGTCGAATACAATTTAAGACTTTAAATTGAAGAATGATTTATTACCTATAAAAACACAATATCTACACACACACAACACACACACACACACACACACACACACACACACACACACACACACACACGCACGCACACACACACAAACACGAACACACACACACACACACACACACACACACACACACACACACACTTTTCTTCTGGAGAAAGTCTTACTTGTTTTATTTTGGCTAGAATAAAAGCAGTTTTTAATATTTAAAAAAACCTTTTTAAGGTCAAAATTATTAGCCACTTTAAGCTATTTTTTCAATAGTCTACAGATCAAACTGTCATTATACCATAACTGCCTAACCTAATTAACCTAGTTAATTCTTTATATGTCACTTTAAGTTGTACAGTATAGTGTCTTGAAAAATATCAGGTAAAATATTATTTACTGTCATCATGACAAAGATAAAATGAATCAGTTATTAGAAAGTTATTAAAATTATTATGTTTAGAAATGTGTTGAAAAATTTACTCTTTGTTAAACAGAAATTAGGGGAAAAAAAGAAACATTTTTTTTATAAATAAAAGATAACTTGAGAGCAAATCTCAAACAACATATTTTATTTTGACTTTAATCTACTAATTAAACAAAATCATAAATATGACAAATATTTAAAATCTGTTATCATCATTTATTAACACACAATGTACAGTGCTCAGCATAACTGAGTACAGCCCATATTGAAAATAAATATTTTTATGCATTTCTCAGTAAATATAGGCAATGCATTTTTGTGCATTTAAACAGATTTATTAAACGGATGAATATATTAAAATAATATTTTAGTCACCGAACATACTTATAAATGGAAAGATAATACAATTAAATTTTGCAAAAACAAATGATAATCTACAAAATTAAAAAAAATTTTTTTAATGTTTTTATTTTTTTTTCTGTTTCTCGTGACTTTTCCTTTTTTTATTTGTATTAAATATTTTTCTGTAACATATACATTTGTCTGTACTAGGTTTTGGACCGTTATCACAAGTTATTTAGATGAGCTCTAAATTTGGCTTCAGTACTGACTAATCTAATGTATATGCACAAATATAATATTGTATAGCTTCCTATTAAAAAAATATGAATTTAAAAGATAGATTTGTGAGAGCTGTACTTATATATGCTTTTTACTACTACTGCTGCTGCTACTACTACTACTGTACATACAATACATTGTGTATATACTGTATCAATATAATTAACAGAAAATAAATGATAAAATGTAAAAATGTCTCGTATAATAACATCAACTTGTATAATAACAAACAAAATCTCAATATAAATGCATTGTTTTTCAACAACACAACAGCAGGTTATTGTTTACCATTTATTACATTTTAAACCATAATTTGTCGACTTTAATCTACATGGAAGCTCCAGTGACAGAGAGAGAAGAAATGGATGAAAAACAGCATAAAGAGCTGGTAAAGGGGGAAATGCATTAGCAGGAGAGGGCGAACGAGAAGATGAGGACGAGTCTACAGAGCGAGTGAGTGAGAGAGAGAGAAAGAAAGAGTGAGTGAGTGCTTGCGTGCGGAGAAAGAGCCACGGCTGATTGCGTGAGAGGGGGTGTGTGGGGGGTGACAGGGGCTGCTTTTTTTTAAAGGAAAAAAAAATGTGTGGATGAAAATGGAGAGAGGAGGAACTCACTCGGCGGACAGCAAACAGTGACCCGCAGCTTCATGCAGGGGAGGGGAGGACCGTCGTCTGTGGACAGAGCTGGAAGGAAACACACAGAGACACAGTCAAACAGCAGGCAGACTGAAGACATTTGCTGCGGCCACAATCAATGCTTTAGACTGCTTGCACAAATACATAAATACGCACAGAAGGCCATAAAAAGGCGGTTGTTGCTCCTCTAATCCATTCGCTGAAAACAACGCCGTAAGCTGCTCCAAACATAACGGATATTTACACATCATAAACGTGCATGAATGTACAATTACTACATTATTTATATGTCCGTAGATCTCATTTTAGCTCAAATACTGTACAGCTGTGTTTAAAATTATAGGCGCCCTTGGTAAACACGAGCAAACAACGCTGCACAAATAAATCTGATTTGTTTGTGCTTTTTTATCTATATAATTAAAAAAAGAGAGAGACACAAAACCTAACCATTGAAGCAATTGGAATTTGGGGGGAAACGTCAATATGAAGAGCGACACGGTGGCTCAGTGGTTAGCACTGTCGCCTCACAGAAAGAAGGCCGTAGTGTACGAGTGTGTATGGATGTTTTGCAGTACTGGGTTGCAGCTGGAAGGGCATCAGCTGTATGAAACATTTGCTGGATAAGTTGGCACTTATTCTGCTGTGGTGACCCCTGATGAATAAAGGACCTAACATGAAGGAAAATGAATGAATAAATGAATGAATGAATGTCAATATAAAATCAATGATTTTTTTCAACATATAGTGGGCAAAATTATTAGCACCCCTAAAATTCTTTTGGGATTCTTATGAAATAGCTCTGAAGAATGTTTATTTATATGTTAATACTTTTAGAGTGAGTATTTTTTTTTTGGTTTGTTTGTTTGTTTGTTTGTTTGTTTGTTTGTTTCACAGAAGTATTAATCCAAGGAACACATGTTTTCTAGTCTAGAAGGCAGCCTTTGATAAAAGTCTTATGATTTGATCTTCCTTAAAAACAATGATCCAAATCAAACACCAAATCCATCACAACAACCTGAATCCTAACCTATAGCCTAGCCTGAATCCTATGGAAAATGCGGAAAGAGCACCAATATTGACCAGAAAACTTAAAGGACCTAGAGAGGTTTTGAATGGAAAATGCTCTTTGATTTCTTCAACCTCATCAGGCTTTACAGGAGACACTCAGAGCTATTATCTGGGCAAATAGAAGTTGCAAAATGTATTTAAAAAAAAAAAAGTGCCAATAATTATGATGTGTTTTGGCGAAAACAAATCTAACTTAGTCCCACAGCGGAATGAACCGCCAACTTTCCCAGCACATATTTTACACGGTGGATGCCATTCTAGCTGCAACCCAACACTAAGAAAAACCCACACACTCCTTACCACACATACTCTATGGCCAGTTAAGCTTATTCAATTCACCTGTACCACATGTGAAAACCCACACGAACACAGAGAGAACATGCAAACTCCACACAGAAATGCAATTTTATTTAATAGTTTTTTTTCTAATTGTATTTTAACACTTGTTATTCAGCAATGTTAGAAGTTTGCAGTAATTTTATTTTTTTGATAAGAATGCAAAGATTTATTGGTCATTTGATACTGAACCTTTGGTTGCTATTTATGAAGCATAAATAGTTCTCACGGTAGATTTGGTCACACAACTGCATGAAGTTGAGAAAATAAAGCATTTATTAACATAGATAGTAACCATTACTGTATGCCTCAATCATAAAATATACAAATGTTGATTTAAATAGTTTATTAATCATTTACTTACTCATTTAGAATGATTCTAAAAGCCACCAACTACCCTTAAATACAATTGATTTGTAAATAATGCAATACAGAATTTACAACTAATAAGTAGTAAAGTATGAAAACACTATCATTAGCACATTATAAATATGGTTATAAGTCAAGAACACAGCATGTGTAGCTATATTTATAAACTGCTTACTAATGTCTATTAATGTAGAGTTAGTGCTTAACAGATAACAAATTAACTATTTTCTAATGCTTAATAAATGATTCATAGTGTGTAGTTATTACAGTGTTACCAAAACAGTTTAATAAATTAATAAAATTTAAGTAAATAAATATACAGTATACAGTATAAGCCAATGAAAAAAAAAATTTATCTAGTCAAATCAAAAAATTATGAGGTACTTTTTTATATCATAAATCAAATCCAAATTTGATTTAATAATTTACACCTTCCTCTTAAAGAATTTGTGATATTCTCCTGTTTTATTTATTTTAACAGCATTCTGTTTATATTTACCAAGGGAGCAATCATTTTGAAAAAGACTGCATTTGTTTTGAACAATTTGTCAGCACATTGCCATTAATCCGCTCAACACATTCCTCCATTGAAAAAAAAAAAAAAAAAAAAAAACGAATTAAACTCGAGCTCTGATTATGAACCATTTGGATACTGCTGATAATTGACATTACGCTACACTTACACTTTGTTCTGTACTGCAAATTAAAGGTTGTCTGAGTCTTTAGGAAGTCTTTTTGGTTTATGGCATATAATGATGTTCATTTAGAGCAATCCTGAAACTGCAGCTTGTCAAGTCGCTCGTTTAAAGCGGTTCGACTGCAGTCAAAGAAGCTTTTTAAAAGAGTAGTTCAAACTGCAGCATGTAGGAAACACTGAATCAGAGAAGAAAGGCCTCAAAGTTTTAGGATTGAATTTAGAGTCATTTAATGTCACTTTCCACACAGTTTTCAACAAATCTGTAAAAAGTTGAGCTGAACCTGATGGACAAATCATAAGGGAGACCCAGTTTAACTCGTGATGTCATTTTACAATGTTACACTATGCAGCTACTTAATATACTTTTAGTGCATTTATTTGAATTAAACAGCAATTTATCAAGAATGTAATCGGGGTGGCAGCATTACACCACTTTTGAACAGAAACTCAATTCATTCGCCTGTATTTATATATACATATACTGTACATAAAGTGAAACATAATTCTGACATATTTTATTGCAAAATAATAATAATAATAATAATAATAATAATAATAATAATAATAATAATAATAGTATTAATAAAAACGGTAATAATAATAATAATAAGAATAAAAATGTCAATATTAATATTAATATCAATGTTAATATTAATATGGATATTAATATTAATATTGTTACTAGTATAACTACTACTAATAATAATTATAAATATTATTATCATATTAAAATGATGATGATAATAATAATAATAATAATAATAATAATAATAATAATAATAATAACAACAACAAATAAAATGATGCCATATAATAAATAATAATAACATTTTTTTGTAAAATATAATGCATTGCTTTTAATATAAAATTCACACATCATAAAAAAAAAGAAATAACACACGCTTTCACACATTATGTTATATTACACTACATTATGAACAGTAGTTTATTTGTAACAAAATATATTATATATTTTTTTTCTTTATTCATAATGTAGAATATGTTGTCTTTTAAAATTAAAATGTATCTATGTAATTGTAAATTCATGAATGAAAAACACCCCATTTTGAAAATGATTCATTTTAATAGTATTTTATTCACTAAACATATGTAGAAATTGAAAGAAAATACAATTGAATTCAAGCAAAATATATTAAAAAAACTACAAAATTTTAATTAAATGTTTAATCTTATATCCAATTTTTTTGTTTCTCTTAATTTTTCCTGTTTTTAAGTTTGTATTTAATATTTTTCAACAAATTTTACATTTGGGAGTATGGACTGTTATTGTAAGTTATTTTGTAAGATAAGCTCCAGATGTGGCTTCAGTACTGACTAATATAATGTATATGAACAAATAAAATATTGTATAACTTCCTATTAAAATTATGAACTTAAAAGATATATTTGTGAGGGGTGTACTGATGGGTGTGCTGAGCATATATATGTGTGTATGTATATATATATATATATATATATATATATATATATATATCAAATCACAGTCCTTGTTCTCAACAAATGCCACAACACAAACAATTCCGTCAATATATAAAATGCTTCATTATATAGTTTTTTAAAATTTATTTCACATGTGCACAGCGTACTTTGCAACAAATGTCAGTAATTTCTACATAAAAGCCTTAGGACATGACTCACTGTGTCTTTAAATGAATTACTCTTCTAGCTAGGGCTTGCTAATGGTGTTTTAGCATGCTATGTTCAAGTCAAGGCTAAGTCCAAAATCATACTTCCCCACAACAAACAGAATTATGTACAATTACACAAAATAAAGCCCTGCATTTGCCCTATAATGGCAGTCATTTACACACACGTGCGCAAAGATTCCTCATTAGCATCAGGCCATGTTATTAGCATTGTAAAGCTATCATGACTCTCTTCCCAGAATCTGAGCTGCAGGTCTTACGTTCAGCCCTGAGTGGCTCCACATTTAATCATAACCATAAATCCATAAGAGCCATTTGAGTAACACACACCACAGCAGCGGCTATTTTCAGCCAGCAGAGGCTTTTAACCTCGCGTCTAACAACCACACACACGGCCATTTAGCATGAGCAGTAATTTCACATTGACGATAATGAGAATGACTGACTCCAGTGTGTGTGTGTGTGTGTGTGTGTGTGTGTGTGTGTGTGCTGTGAGTGTGTGTTTTGGTTCTCTGAAGCCCATATGCATTTATGCTGTGCCTTATAGGTTTGTTTATGGCATCTGAGGCAGTGGAGATTTCAAAGCAAAAGTCTCAGACTACTAATAAAGTTTTTGTTTGTTTGTGTTTAAATGCATTTTTGTGTAAAAATATTACCAGCACAGAACTTGTTGGTTGTTTTATTAAAAATATTTTTTTTATAAATGGCGTCAACAACAACAACAACAACAACAACAACAACAGAAATCTAATTTAAAGGGTGGTGCAACATCATATTTTAAGCTTTATTTGTAATGCAGCTGTGTGAACATAAACAACATCTCTGAATGCAAGAGCTCAGAGTTCAATGCAAAGTGAGACTGCGAGCTACTAGCCCGACAGTGGAAACGTGACAAGATTTCGGCCTCACTG